AAAAAAATGTAGATTTCAATATTTTATACTTTCTTTAATAAAATCAAAAGTATTTAAACTTGAGTTGAAATTTTTTTCATGAATATTTATAAAGGATGATGCAGAAGGTTTTCCTTTATTTAAAATATTTTTATTAAAAAGACTTTAAAAATTCTCTGTAATGTTGTAAGGTCAGTCTTTAAAGAGTTCTTGTTCACATGTTATGACAGTAAAAAAGATAACTGTTAACAAAATAAATGTTAATTTCTGTGATAAAAAGGACAAGTTGAACTTTGTCTCTCTGTGTAATACCTTAGTTTTGTATTTGTAAGTAGTATTTTATTTGTGTGGGTTTTTTTCCTTTTCTTTTTGGTACAAAGGATTAAACCCAGGGGTGCTTAAGTATTGTCACATACCCGGCCCTTTTTATATTTTAATTTTGAGACAACGTCTTGCTAAGTTGCTCTGGACCTTTCTAAGTTGCTGTGGCTGGCTTTGAACTTGAGATCCTCCTGCCTCCGTCTCCCAGGCTTGCTCCACCATGCTTGGCACATATGCTTTTCTTAAATGATTATACTTTACTTATTTGGAAATATGAATCAAGCAAATGAATTGTTTGAGACCAAAAATATGAAACAACCTGTTATCTTTATTTTAGCCCATCGAAGTATGTTAACATCCCAGAAAACCAAATGGCATTTCCATAAACATTCCTTGATCACATTAATTATATTTTTCCCTTATACTTTTATGTTCTTTTCCTCCATACATAAGTTAATATATATTTATTAATTTCTAGAATTTGTGCATTTATAATTATATTTGTATATAATTAGTTTAGGCCTTCATTACAAATTATTCATTCAAGTCATGAGTTTCCTGGTGTTAACAGTAAGATTAACAAGAACTTAAGAGAAAAGGGAATAAAATTAACAAATGAATAACTTAGGAGACAAATTAGTGAAAACATAACAGCTGATTTTTTAAAAATATTTTTTAATTGTACGTGGACACAATATCTTTATTAATTTTTATGTGGGGCTGAGGATCAAAGCCAGTGCCTCATCCATGGTAGGGGAGTGCTGTACCACTGAGCCACAATCTCAGCCCCATAATAGCTGATTCTTCAGTAAGACTGATCAAGTACACAAGTTTCTGGTTAAGTCTAGGAATTGGGGGCTTAAAAGCATCAAATGATAAGAACACTGAGCATAATTATTGCCAACAAATATGAAAATTCTTCGAATAGATCATTTTGTGATTTCTTAATTACCACAATTTACTGAGGAAGTTTAACTGAATCAAGACAAAACAAACATGAAAGGCAATCAAGGACCTTCAATAAGAGGATAAATTCCCATGTGCTAGATAGAACATTCAAAAAGATGAGTTTCTCCCAGGCATGGTGGTGCACGCTGTTAACCCCAGCTACTCAGGAGGCTGAGACATAAGGATTGCAAGTTTGAGGTCAGCTTCAGCAACTTAGCAAAAAATAAACAGGACTGGAGGTGTAGCTTAGTGGTAAAGAAACCCTGGGATCAATTTTTAACAAAATTTTTAAAAGTTGAGTTTTCCAATTCATTCTATAAAGCTAAAGTTAAGAATGTTAATTTAACTCCGTAAAATATAAGCATATCCTCAGAATGTGATACAAGAAGGTAATGGTAATTGCCTCTGGATAAATGAGTGGCTGAATAATAACTGGAATTGATACTTTCATTGTGCTTATATATCCTTTGAATTTTGGCATTTGCATGTACCACTTATTTGAAGGGGATGCATCCAAAGACCCTCAGGTAACTACAACTAAATAATACTGAACCCTATATATACCTGTGATTAAGTTTAATCATAGGCACAAGAAGAGATGAGCAACAATAACAAGAAATAGTACTACTAAAGACTTGTTTGGGATGGTTTCCTTTCTTCTTGATCAACTTCAACTCTGTCTGAAATGTGGCAGCATTTTCTTTACTGACAGATTCAGCCTCTCCAGTAATTATTTTTCAGTCCAAATCTATTCCTGAATCTATCTAATAACCCTTTCCTTGCAGTAAATAGCTTGGTGCTGCTTGTTTCAGGGGTCCTTTACTGAGGTCATTTTATAGGAATAATGATTTCTGTTATAAATGTTGCCATCATTTGAAACACATTTTCTGTTCATGCTTTCCATCACAATTTAATAATCTTTCCCATCTTATCTAATCACTTATTATGCACTGTGGCCATACCTTTGCATTTTTAGGTGCAACAGCAAAACCAGCATGATTCTTTTCATGACAATTTCACAGATGATTTGTTCTTACTGTAGATCTTAGCAACCTCCATGTATAATTTTTTTCTTTTCTCATAGAGACCTTTAGGCTTAAAATAGCATTTCATAGCCAGGCAGGGTGGCAGATGCTTGTAATCCCAGCGGCTTGGGAGGCTGGAGGCAGGAAGATTGCAAGTTCAAAGCCAGCCTCAGTAATGGCAAGGCACTAAATAAGCAACTTGGTGAAACCCTGTCTCTAAGTAAAATACAAAATAGGGCCGGGGATATGGCTCAGTGGTTGAATGCCCAAGTTCAGTCCCCAGGACCAAAAAAACAAAACAAAACAAAAAAACACTTTACAGCTTCGCTTTTGTGTGTCCAAATTACCAGCATCACTATTCTTGCACTTTATAATCATTATTAAATGAGGGTTACTTAAACACAGGTATTGATAACATTACAATTGATGTGATAACTAAGAAAGCTATATGACTATTGGAGGGATGACATATACTGCATAGATATTCTAGACAAAGGGATGATTCATGTCCCATGCAGGATGGAGTAGGATGACCCAGGACAGAGCATGATGACACAAGTTTTATCATGCTGCCCAAAATGACAGGCCAATTAAAATTTATGAATCATTTATTAATTATTATATTTATTAATTATTATATTTATTAATCATTTCTTTATTATTTTTTGGACTAGGGATTGAACTCAGGCCTACTTAACGACTAAATTTTATCCCTAGCTCTCTTTATATTTTGAGACAGTCTTGCTAAGATGTCCAGGCTGGCCTTGAACTTGGGATCCTCCTACCTCAGCCTACTGATTACAGGCATGTGCCACCATGCCAGGCAAAGAATAAGAATTGGAAGCTAGAAAAGAATCCAGATTGCAGTACAGAATGACAAAAAAAGTTAGAAACTACAAAGAAGGGGTAAGATAATAGAAAATTTGGTTAGATGATAGCTTTGAAGAATTAAGTTATTATCATGGACTTCCTATGTTGAGAGGCTCAGGTGGTAAGGAACATGGGCAACCTGCAGCTGACAGCAGAAATTAAAGCCCTCAGTCCTACAAATTCTGCCAACATGAGTGGCTCTTTCTCCTGTCTCAGATGCTGCCACAGTCCTAGCTAGTATCCTAATTATAGCTTCATGAGACCCTGAGCAGAGTCACATCCAGAATCCTGACCCATAGAAACTTTGAAATAATGAACATACATTGTTTTAAGCCACTAAACTTGTGGTAACGTGTTACACAACAACAGGAAACTAATACAATCTGTTGTCCATCTACCACATTACCACCTTACAAGCACTCAGCCAGCTGTCCTATCTTCCCCATATAGTGATAATCATAATGTGGAGAAGGTTAATATAGTCAGTAGAAGATGAATAGTCAATTGTCATATGACAATTTTGCAAATAATTGAAACTCAACAATATTCTCAAATCAGACTATGATTTTTTTTTCCTTTCTCCTTCTTTCTCTTTTGTGTTTGTGTATGTGTACTGGAGATTGAACCCAGGGCCACATATACTTTTCTTTTTTTCTGTATATTTTTTATGATGTTAAATATAGCTTGAATTTTTTTGCTTGTTTGCCATTTCTCTTAGTACGTTCAAACACAGTAGGTTGTTAAGTATAAAGCACAAACCATAAACACAACTGATAAATTCAACTACACAAAAATTTAAAGCCTTGTTTACTAAAAGATAAGAAAAAAGATGGGAGACAACCCACATATAGAAGAAGTTATATACATAAACAGCAAAGGATAAGTATCCAAAACACAAAGAACTACAAAACAATGAGAAAAAGATAAACCAGATAATGTGTAAAATGTACCAACAGAAAAAGTTAAACATCAGTGCCTCTAGGTTGAGTGCTACTTGAATATATGTTTTGCCCCACACCCCTTTCTCTGAGTTTGGTAATATATGTATAACCCTTCCAGAAACACAGAAAAGTATTACTGAAAATAAAAATAAATAAAAGAAAATAAGTTTTATATACTTGGTCACATGTAGTGAAATATATATCCTACATTTTCCTTCCTATATGGTTATGTACTGAGATACATAGAGACAAAATAAAACTTAGTTTTTCATTTCTTCTTTCTTATCCTAGCATATAGGACCAGACCAGACATTGCTTCCAAATATAGTAATGTGTGTACACATACACACATACACACACACACACACACACACACCTATTTTTGTGTGTGGTGATAGGGATCAAACTCAGGGCCTCCTGCACACAAGGTAAAAACCACCTCCCCAAAGTCCCCAAAATATTTTAAGTTGAACAAAGTCTACCAATTTTATGGAAGCAAAAATCATTTTTACCACTGTTTCACAATCTTCCACCTACCTATGCTAGGTAAGAACTGGTATTCAATAAGTGCTTGATGAATTTAATTGTGGATGATATATATTTTATTCCTTTTCCACTTTCCAATCTGATAAAGTTTTTATTTCTTCATTTAATTTTATTATTTATTTATAATTTGAGACAGGGTCTCCCAAGTTGCCCAGGCTGGCCCTGAACTCCTGTGCTCCTCCTGCCTCAGTCTCCTAAGTAGCTGGCATTATAAGTATGTATAAGTGCCTAGTCTGGTAAAGACGTTAGACTTTAAATACTTGTTTTGCTTTTCATTTCTTATCTAATCTCTTTTCTAGGATTGGCAATCCTTCACACTTTGTCTACAACCCTTTATATTAGGGTCATTTATGACAAACTGAGAATGAATAATTAATTACATTCATTCTAGTCAATCATTGTTGGGCAATCCCAATTACTATAGTCACTTTGATTCTTATTTTTTTCTTAAAATAAAATTTCAAAATTCATTAAAAATTGGAAATCCATTGTTTCTTTCATATTCAATTTGTTTGCACAAAAATTCTTTACTTATTTTGTCAATGTGGTTTCGAGAGAATAGATTGACTACAGGAATAAAATAATGCTCCAGTTGTTCTGCCCTAAGACACTCAAGAAAGAATGCCACACAGTTATCAAAGCAGACTACTAGATTTTTGGGGTGCCACTGACTATCCTGTGGATCCTTGGTACATACATGCAGGAAGGCAGTTTTCACATGATAAGAACAGAATTTATCCAGTTCTTTTCGGTCTTCAAACTTTTTTTTCAGCTGTTCCAAAAGGTATTTCATTAGTTTTAAACAATCTTTCCTGTCAAATAAAAAAGAAAGCCATTTACTTTTACTTATATACAACTTGTTTATTTCACAAAGGACCTCAGAATCTTACAGAAAAAAAAACCATTTAAACAGTAAAGATATATTAATATAATTAAATATAATATAGTCACCTAAGCCTGATTATATTTTCAAATATATGCTTTGCCAAAAAAAAGAGTCAAATATATGTTTTGAAGTTTCAAAAGCACATATTTCTTCTCTCTTTTCCAATCCTAGCTTAGACATTTTCTTCTATCATTGTTAATTCAACTAGGGCTGAGGATGTGGCTCAGTGGTAGAGCATTTGCCTGGCATGTACAAGATTCTAAAGTTCAATCTCCAGTAAAAA